TGCTGCCTTTTCAGGCATATTAGCAGGAAGCTGGATCAGAGGTGGAGCAGTGGCTGGCACTGTGGTGCTGTAGTAGGTTAAGCCAGCACCTCAGCGCGGGCATCACATATGGGCACCAGTTCAACTCTCCACTGCTCCACCTCTGATCTTGCGCTCTGCTTATGGCCTGGGAAAGCAGCAGAGGATGACCCAAGTGGTTGGGTCCCTGCACCCATGTGGGAGACCCAGAAGAAGCTCCTGGCTCCTGGTTTCTGATTGGTCCAGCTCCGGCCATTGCAGCCATTTGGGGAGTGAACCAGAGGGTGGAAGACCTTTCTCTCTGTCTCTCCCTCTCTCTGTCTGTAACTCTGCCTCACAAATAAATAAATAAAATCTTTTTTTTTTCACCATATCATGTTATTTAATACTGCTCAAGTTTTTCACCTCAGTGGGTGTGAAACTTGATCAATGATACCACTGATGTCCATCACAACTGTACACCAAAAATAAAACATTTTAAAACCACCATTTGGATGTTGAGTTTTCCCTTTATAAATATAAAGGATCTGCCACTCGTCATACACACCATGTGCCTGAAGCATGAGCCCAGGCAGCTTCGTAGCCCACCTCAGCCATCTGGGTCCTGCCGGTCCCTGCCTTGTTTAGAGCCCCTCACTCGCTGGTTGCTTGGCAGTCTCACAGCATATAAATCCATTTTAAGAATCTTCTTTGAGGGATGGCTCCACAATTCCTAAACAGCAGTTGGCAAACTCCACAAACAGGGGCTCCTGCATGTAGTCTCTCATGAGCTTGGCTTTGTTGTCCCCCTGATCAAGGCTGATGATCAGCTGTCTCAGGTGTGGGTTCAGCAGTAAGCTTCTTAACGTAGCAGCTTCCCCTAAATTCCTTAAATTCTGCAAAGAAACTCTGTCTTCCTCTTCATCACTATTCAGAAAATCAGCTACAGAGTCGTCATTATTTCAGCCAGTCCAGCCTCGGCCTCTGCAGCCACTTTGGGAGTAAACCAGCAGGTGGAAGATCTCTCTCTCTCTCTCCATCTCCCTGTCAATCTTGGTTTTCCACCGGCTTCGTAGTTTTGGCAGAGACAGCTGATCTTTTTTTCTCAACAGGACGAGTTTCAGGGTTGCACTGCTCTTTGTGGGTTCGGAAGCAGGTCAGGGAGCAGTAGGGCACGCGGCAGGACGGGCAGCGGTATTTGGGCTTCTCCAGACAGATCACGCAGACCACAGTGCTACACCTCAGCGACGCCATGGCCTCCCCTAGACTCTAAATAAAATCTTAAAAAAAAAAAAAGAATTAAGAAGTGGCCTTGCACTGGAGCTCGTATAAAATGCTGGCACAGCAGGTGGTGGCTTAGCCTGCTGCAGCACAATACCAACACCAAGATATATTTTTCATGAAGTGAAAAATTTAATATTTTAAAAGATTTATTTATTTATTTGAAAGGCAGAGTTATAGAGAGGCAGAGAGAGAGAGAGAGAGAGAGAGAGAGAGGTCTTCCATTCATTGGTTCACTCCCCAAATGGCCGTAATTACCAGAGCTGGGCTTCTTCCAGGTCTCCCATGTGGGTGCAGGGGCCCTAGGACTTGGGCCATCTTCTTCTTCTTCTTCTTTTTTTTTTTTTGACAGGCAGAGTGGACAGTGAGAGAGAGACAGAGAGAAAGGTCTTCCTTTGCCGTTGGTTCACCCTCCAATGGCCGCTGCGACCGGCGCACTGCAGCCGGCACACCGCGCTGATCCAATGGCAGGAGCCAGGTACTTATCCTGGTCTCCCATGGGGTGCAGGGCCCAAGTACCTGGGCCATCCTCCACTGCACTCCCTGGCCACAGCAGAGAGCTGGCCTGGAAGAGGGGCAACCGGGACAGAATCCGGCACCCCAACCGGGACTAGAACCCGGTGTGCCGGCGCCGCTAGGCGGAGGATTAGCCTAGTGAGCCGTGGCGCCGGCCTGGGCCATCTTCTACTGCTTTCCCAGGCCACAGCAGAGAACTGGATTGGAAGAGGAGCAGACGGGACCTGAACTGGCACCCATATGTGATGCCTGCGCTGCAGGCGTTGGCTTTACCCACTACACCAAAGCACTGGCCCATGAAAAATTCAATTTTTAAAGTATGCAAACAATAAAAAAATAAAGTATGCAAGCAAAGAGCATCTGAGTCATAATAAAAGTCCATTTCCGTCAGCTGCCTGACCTCCATAGGCATCTGAGTTTATAACCCCTATTCTGCAATTTATAAGATGCTGCCAGCCACACTCTTGATCTTATTTGATCCTAACCCTCTCCTTCTTTTGGATCCTGCAGGCCATTATAAGGTATTTTTTTTTTACTAGTGAGTTTTGTTTTTAGAAATCTTTTATTTAATAAATATAAATTTCATAAGTACAGTTTTTGGAATATAGCGGTTCTTCCCCCCATACCCACCCTCGCACCCCCACACCCATCCCATCCCACTTCTTACTTCTTTTTTCCCATCCTACTCTTTATTTTTTTAAAAAGATTATTTATTTATTTGAAAGCCAGAGTTACACAGAGAGAGAAGGAGAGGCAGAGAGAGAGAGAGAGAGAGAGAGAGGTCTTCCATCTGTTGGTTCACTCCCCAATTGGCTGCAAGAGCCGGAACTCTGCTGATCCGCAGGCAGGAGCCAGGAGCTTCTTCTGGTCTCCCACGTGGCTGCAGGGGTCTGAGGACTCAGGCCATCTTTCACTGCTTTCCCAGGCCCTAGCAGAGAGCTGGATTGGAAGTGCAGCAGCCAGGACTCGAACCAGCACCCATATGGGATGCCGGCACTGCAGGTGGCAGCTGTACCTACTGTGCCACAGCGCCAGCCCCTCTATTCTTCATTAAGATTCATTTTTTTGAGCCGGCGCTGTGGCTCACTAGGCTAATCCTCCGCCTTTCGGCACTGGCACACCGGGTTCTAGTCCCGGTCGGGGCGCCGGATTCTGTCCCGGTTGCCCCTCTTCCAGGCCAGCTCTCTGCTGTGGCCAGGGAGTGCAGTGGAGGATGGCCCAAGTGCTTGGGCCCTGCACCCCATGGGAGACCAGGAGAAGTACCTGGCTCCTGCCATCGGATCAGCGCGGTGCGCCGGCTGCAGCGCGCCGGCCACGGCGGCCATCGGAGGGTGAACCAACGGCAAAGGAAGACCTTTCTCTCTCTGTCTCTCTCTCTCTCACTGTCCACTCTGCCTGTCAAAAAAAAAAAAAAAAAGATTCATTTTTAATTATCTTTATATACAGAAGATCAACTCTATACTAAGTAAAGAAACAATTATTTATTTGAAAGTCAGAGTTACACAGAGAGAGGAGAGGCAGAGAGAGAGAAAGAGAGAGAGAGAGAGAGAGAGAGCTGGTTCACTCCCCAATTGGCCACAGTGGCCAGCCAGAGCTGCACTGATCCGAAGCCAGGAGCCAGGAGCTTCTTCTGGGCCTCCCATGCGGGTGCAGGGGCCCAAGGACTTGGGCCATCTTCCACTGCTTTCCCAGGCCACAGCAGAGAGTTGGATGGGAAGTGGAGCAGCTGGGTCCTGAACTGGCGCCCACATAGGATGCCGACACCGCATGTGGCGGCTTTACCTGCTATGCCACAGACCCAGCCCCCACCATAAGGTCTTAGACTTTGTATTCTTGGCATCCTGATTTTACAAAGAAGGAAATAAAGGCCCAGAAGGGGTAAGTAAACCCACCCAAGGCTGTCTGGGAAGCTGCAGGGCAGAACTGGGAACAGGGTTTGTTCCCTGACCCTGGCTGTTTCTGTCCCAGCACCTCCCGTCTTAGGTCTCCTGTTACCTTATAATTAATGGCTCAAGTCCAGTTCCCAAGTGAGGAACACAAGTCTGCCAGTTAACAAGGAGGCATGAAAATGTATCTTGTTGACTATGGGACCTCTGAGAAGTAGCTAAGTGAGCAGGATGTTTCGGAGGTAGGAAGCACTCACCGAGTGTTTACATAGTTATTTTAATAGGCCAGCTCCTTCAGCTTTAATAAAGACCAGCTGATGACCCATCAGTCTAGCACAGTGGTTCACAAGGACAGATGTGGGATGTTCTAATACGGCCTCTGGGTTCCCCTCACCCCGGTGACATCAGCAATGTCTGGAGACGATTTTGATGGTCACAACCAAGGGGCTATATGCTCACCCATGTGCACTCCTGGCATTGACTGGAGAGAGGCCAGGGACGCAGCTAAACACCCTGCAACACACAGCACAGCCCCCTCTAGCTCTCCAGGCCCACATCTCAGCAGTTTCAAGGTTGGGAAACTCTACTCTCCTAAAACAGGATAATCCCCTTTCCTCCTCGGTCATCCTGGGGGCCTGCAGTCGGGAGGTGGGCTTTGGAGCCAGGAAGGCTGGTTTCTGCCCCTGTTAGGGCCTCCGGTGCACAGCAGGCAACCAAAAAAAAAAAAAAAAAAAAAAAAGTACAGTTGCAAATGGAATTTCATGACGAATTGTGTGAATCTGAGCAGTTCCCAACCTTCTTTATCTTTCCCTGGAAAGTGGAGATTTAAGAGCCCCAGCCCAGAGCCGCCGTGAGGAGTCACGGAGCTCACCCTGGTAAAGCCATGGCCCGCACTCGGCCCAGGACAAGCATTCGTTTTATTTCCCTTTCTTGTCGGTTTCTTTCTTCCACCTCTACATTCGCGCCCCAGCCCACCCATGGGCTGAGTGACCCTGCGCAAGTCACTTTTCCCCTGTGGGCCTCGGTTTTTCCTCCGTGAAATTGGAAAGTTGGCCTGCGATCTCCAAGCGCGCTTTCAACCACGAAATGGGACTGAAGTTTGCAGAGCGCCTTTCCTCCCCCGGGACTGATGGTACGGTCCCGGGGTAGCTCCCCCACCCCTCTGTCGCGGACCTTGGTACAGGCCCAAGGGGCCCTAGGCGGCCTCTCAGGGCTGCCCTTGCCCCCTGCCGAGTTCCGGGCCTGTCCCCGCGCAAGCTGATTGGCTGGAGTGGTGCCCGGGCTGCGCGGCTATAGGTGAGCTCGGGAGGGGACGGGCGGGGCGCGCTGCAGGCCCGCCCCCTCCCCCCTGGCTTGGACGCTGCGCGGAGCCGCGGGCGGGAGGGCTGACGGACCGACCGACGGGAGGGACAGGAGCCGAGCAAGATGGCGCAGACTCAGGGCACCAGGAGGAAAGTCTGTTACTACTACGACGGTGAGCCTCGTCCGCGCGCCGGGGGCGGAGCCTGGTGGGCCGGATCGGGGAGAGGGAGGCTGAAGCGGAGCAGATCTGAGAGGGGAGGGCGCGAGGCCGAGGCGTGCGGGCACGGCTGAGCGAGGAGGCTGAGAGGAGGAGGTCGAGGCTGAGGGAGGAGGCTGAGAGGAAAGGAGGTCGAGGCTGAGGCCGAGAGGGCGTCGTGTGCGGGAAGCCCGCGTGATGTTGCGGGCGAGATCCTGAAGAAGTCCCGAGTGGAGAGTTTGAGTGGGACGCCCAGCGGGGAGGCCGAGTCCGAGGTGGGGGCGGGGGAGGCCGGATCTGACGGGTGTTCTGAATACGAAGCTCTTTCACGGTCCCGCGCCTTCCTCGTCTTCCTCGATGCGAGTCCTGCAGGATGGGTCACCTGCTTCCCCTCCCCCAGTCCCGGAGCAGGGCCTGCGGTTGCTGCTGCAACACGGGGCCCCTAGGATCGCACGGGGCGGGGTGGGGGTGGGGGTGGGATGCAACCTGTTCAAACAGACCTTTCATTTGACAGAAGTCCACTGGGCAGCTCGCTGTGTGCTACGTGGTGTTTAGATGCTGGGGCCGTGGGGCTGGCCAGGTCCCATGCCCTATTTTTAGGGTGCAGGCTGGAGGGGGAACTAGTGGGTGGCAGGCTGGGCGTCTCCAGCCTGGGTGTTGGGGATAAAGAAGGGCCCAGGGTGTGATGGGAGCGCGGAGAAGCAGAGGAATCGGGAAGGTGGTGTCATCCCAGCCAGGACCTGAAGAACAGGAGTTATGAGCCAGGTGCAGGGAAGGAAAGAACAGCAAGTTTAGAAGCTCCGGGGAGGACGGTACGTCTGAAACACGGGAGGTGGTTTGACAGCGTGGCTGAGGCCTACCTAGGTTTGGGGCCTAGTGTGGTGGGAGGGAAAGGTTACCAGTGGCGAGGGAAAGGTTACCAGTGATGAGGCTTGAGAAGGTAATAGGGCCCGAGTCACCCAGGGCTGGGCGTCCTCGCCCAAGGAAACTGGACTTTATTCTCAGGGCTCTTGTGAATCATTGAAGTTTAGTGCAAGTTCACGCCATCATCAGTTGTAGACTTGAGAAATATGAACACTGTTGCCAAAAAGCCCGTGGAAAAATGAAATTCAAAGATAAGTTTATTTTGGTGTACACGTTTTTTTAAAAATTTGTGCAGTTTTTTCTTGATATGCATTTCCCATGAGCTTTAAATATTTTTATAAGCATTTTTTTAAAGATTTATTTACTTATTTAAAAGTCAGAGTTACACATACAGAGAAGGAGAGGCAGAGAGGGAGATCTTCCATCCGCTGGTTCACCCCCCAATTGGCCGCAACGGCCGGAGCTGTGCCAATCTGAAGCCAGGAGCCATGAACTTCTTCCGGGTCTCCCATGCGGGTGCAGGGGCCTAAGGACTTGGGCCATCTTCTACTACTTTCCCAGGCCCTAGCAGAGAGCTGGATTGGAAGTGGAGCAGTGGGGACTAGAACCGGCGCCCATATGGGCTGCCGGCACTTCAGGCCAGGGCATTAACCCACTGTGCCACAGCGCCGGCCCCCAGCTTTAGAAATTTTTATTTGAAAAACAGAGAGACAGACAGAGACAGAAAGACCCCCCATCCATTGGTTTACTCCCCAAATGCCCAAAACAGCCAGGACTGGGCCAGGCGGAAGCCAGGAGTTGGGAGTTCAATCCAGGTCTCCTACATGGTGGCAGGGACTCAAGGACTTGTATGGAATGTAGGCATCCCAAGCTGCATCTCTACCATTATGCCAAAGGGCCAGCCCTCCATGAAGTGGCCTTGTGTCACTCTGGGACATCAGTGAGTGGATGGGTAAGGAAGAAGGCTGTGACCCCGGTTTTGGTTGTGGGCCAGACTTTGGTAGTAGGAGAAGGGCACGTCTGGTCATAACTTCAGTGACTATGCTATGTGTAGGGGTATCCAGGTAGAGGCACCTAGGAGGTGGTGGCCATTCAGGTCTGCAGTTTAGAAGACAGAAATGAGAGGATAGGGATTTTTGGTATCAGTTGTCAGCAAATAGATGGTACTTTGAGCTAGGTTAGAAGATGATTGATCACTTGAGAAGTCGTGTAGGGGGAGAAGAGAAGGAGTCCCAGGCTGGAAGCGGACTGAGGAAAGGCCTAGTGCCTCTTTCATTGTGGATGGGGCTGCCCGTTTGGCCTCTTCTTTTATGGTTGACAGGCAGAGTGGACAGTGAGAGAGAGAGACAAAGAGAAAGGTCTTCCTTTTGCCGTTGGTTCACCCTCCAATGGCTGCCGTGGCCGGCGCACCACGCAGATCCGATGGCAGGAGCCAGGTACTTATCCTGGTCTCCCATGGGGTGCAGGGCCCAAGCACTTGGGCCATCCTCCACTGCCTTCCCGGGCCACAGCAGAGAGCTGGCCTGGAAGAGGGGCAACCGGGACAGAATCCGGAGCCCCGACTGGGACTAGAACCCGGTGTGCCGGCACCGCAAGGCGGAGGATTAGCCTAGTGAGCCGCAGCGCCGGCCTGCCCGTTTGGTCTTGCAGGCAGTGTGCTTCTGTACCCCCAGACCCCAGACCCCAGAACAGGGCCTAGCTCATAGTCATCCCTTAATCAATATTTGTTGATTAAATGAATAAAGATACAGAGGGAGTGGCCAGAGAGGGAAGTAAACCGGAAAGTGTTGAGTTACTGAAGCCAAGTAGGGAGTGAATGGGCAAGTGTTGTCAGGAGTTGGGGCAGAAGCTAGACTGCAGTAGGTTCAGGAATGAACGGATAGGTGAAGAGGAGCGATAAGGTTGAAGCTTCTTAAAGGGAACCTTGTCTGAGACAGAGAGAGAGGGTTGTTCATGAAGGGGTGTTGTAGTGACATTCAAATTTTTTTTTTAAAGATTTTATTTATTTGAGAGGTAGAGTTATTGACAGAGAGGGAGAGACATAGAGAAAGGTTTTCCATCTGCTGATTGACTCCCCAAGTGGCTGCAATAGTTGGAGCTGAGCCAATCCGAAGCCAGGAGTCAGGAGCTTCTTCCGGGTCTCCCATGTGGGTGCAAGGGTCCAAGTACTTGGGCCATCTTCTACTGCTTTCCCAGGCCACAGCAGAGAGCTGGATGGGAAGTGGAGCAGCCAGGAGTCAAACCGGCACCCATATGGGATGCCGGCGCTTCAGGCATTGGCTTCACCCGCTACACCACAGCGCTAGGCTCGAGCCTCAAGTTGCTTTCTTATAAAACTGAAATAGTAGCAGTTCCTGTTATGAGAACAGTGATGGGAAAGCTCTTTAAGAGTTTAAGGTAGTGTCTAGGCAGAGTATCGGGTGTGAGCATTGGCCGGGTCTGGATTTGCTGGGTAAGGAAGTTGCTGGGATCGAGGCCCAGGCCTTTCTTTACATAGCATGCTGAAAACTGCCTCATCCTGATGGCCTTCTAAGAAGAGATCTCTGGGTGTATAGTTCACTCAACTTTGAAGCATTGTTCAAGGAACTGTCTACCGAGTAGCCCCACAGAACCCTGTAACAAGTACAAACTGAAGTAGGTATTAGGAAATCCAATGTAGGTTCTGGCATACTAGATTTGGAGACAAAAGAGTTGACTCCCAGGGGCCGGCACTGTGGCACAGCAGGTTAAAGCCCTGGCCTCAAGCTCTGGCAGCTCATATGGGCACCGGTTCTAGTCCTGGCTGCTCCTCTTTCGATCCAGCTCTCTGCTAGGGCCTGGGAAAGCTGTGGAAGATGGCTCAAGTCCTTGGGCCCCTGCACTCAAGTGGGAGACCCAGAAGAAGCTCCTGGCTCCTGGCTCCTGGCTCTGACTGTTGCAGCCATTTGGGGAGTGAACCAGCAGATGGAGGACTTTCTCTCTCTCTTTCTCTCTCTCTCTCTCTCTCTACCTCTGTAACTCTCTGCAGCTGCAGCTGTTGTGGCTCTCTGGGGAGTGAACCAGCGGATGGAAGATCTCTCTGTCTCTACCTCACTCTGTAACTCTGTCTTTCAATAAATAAAATAAATCTTAAAAAAAAAAAAAAAAAGAAAGTAGACTCCCAGAACACTCATTAGCTGTGTCATCTTCGCTGGGCACTTCTCTGAGTCTACATTCAATTCATGAATCTTTATTGAACCTCTGTGATATACAGGGCTTATTCCCTGTATATATTCCTTATTCTTGCCTTTAAGGGGTTCCCAGTCTGTAGATGTAGATAGATACAAAAATAATTGAGATGCAAAATTAATGGAGTGATATATACAAATTGCATTTAGAGGAAAAGGCCATTTATTTTAATGGAGAAAGGATTTAGAGCCAGAGCCGGGCTTTGTAGTGTGAGGAAGCAGCACATTCCAGGTTGAAGGAATAGTCTGAACAAAGCATACTTCCCTATGAAGTCAATGCCTTTTTCAGGATGCTGGTAATGATCTGATGTGCCTAGAGCGTAGCTTGACAAACGTTTTCTGTAAAGGGCAAGATGGTAAAGTTTGGGCTTCATGTTGCCTGATTGGTGGATCTCTGTGGCAACTACTTATTTATCCAGCTCTGCCATTGGGGTGTGAAAACATCATAGACAATATATAAACCAAGGGTGTGGTTGTGCTACAGTAAAATATCATTTACAAAATCAGGCAGCCAGTGTATTTTACCCAAGGACGATAGTTTGTCTGCGCTGGTCTAAAGTCAGTGAGTATGAATGAGTGTGTTTTGTTGGAGAAGGTGGTTGTAGGTAGCAGGAGATCAAGTTAGAAAGGGAGATTAAGAAAGTCTTAATGAAGTTCAGTCTTACTGAAGTTTTTTTTTTTTTTTACTCTTTTTGTGAAAGATTTATTTATTTATTTGAAAGTCAGAGTTACACAGAGAGAAGGAGAGGCAGAGAGAGAGAGAGAGAGAAAGATCTTCCATTTGTTGGTTCACTCCCCAATTGGCTGCAATGGCTGGAGCTGCGCTGATCCAAAGCCAGGAGCCAGGAACTTCTTCTGGGTCTCCCGTGTGGGTCCAAGGACTTGGGCCATCTTCCACTGCTTTCCCAGGCTGTGTCAGAGAGCTGGATCAGAAGTGGAACAGCCGGGTCTTGAACCAGTGCCCATATGGGATACCAGTACTGCAGGTGGCAGCCTTACCTGCTGCGCCACAGCACCGGCCCCATTGTTTCTACTCTTTATCCTATATGGAATAGGGAGCCATTAAAGATTTTGGGGCAGAGGCATGATGTTCTCAGTGTGTGTTAGGAACATAACTGGTGATAGTGTAGCAGATTGTTTGAATGGAAGGCAGGAGGACCAGTTGGAATGTTGTTGCCAGGGGCCAGTGTTCTGTGGAGCAGTGGGTTAAGCCACCGAGTGCAATGCTGACGTTCTGTAAGAGCTGCTCCACTTCCCATCCAGCTCCCTGCTAATGCACCTAGGAGGCAGGAGAAGATGGCCCAGTGCTTATGCCTCTGCACCCATGTGGGAAACAAGGATGTAGTTCCAAGTTCCAGGCTTTGGCCTGACACAGCCCTGGCCATTGTGGCCATCTAGGGAGGAAACCAGTGATGGAAAATCCCTCTGTAACTCTGCTTTTTAAATAAATCAATCATATATATATATATATATATATATATATATAAACTTTAAAAAAAAGGGCAGTTGCTATTCAGGGTGGAGAACATCAGCCCCATGGGCCTCAACTGCAGTGGGACTTGAAGCTCAGTAAGTCTACAGTGGGGTAATTTTTAAGTTGATAATTTTGTATGGCCCATGAATGATATAAATATCCATCCACATGGCCCTTGGCGGAGAAAAATTCCCCACCTCTGCATAGAGCAAGCAATGATAAAGGCTTAGTTTTCTTACTTATAAAATAAGAATAATACTCCCTGTCCTATATATTTTCTACTATTGTTGTGAGGATCCAGTAAGAAAATAAAATGAATCTGCTCTGACATTTAAGGTGTCACAATATATCAGAGGTGACTTGTGGCTTATAATAATTCTGAGTAGTAATGGTTGTTTTTCTGTTGTGGGAGGGAATTCCTTGGAGGTATATTGAGGTGAATCACCTGACTGGCTGCTATTCTCCAGTAGCTAGGAATGAACCCTTCATGCTATCTTGAGCCTGTGGGCTCTAGAAGAAAATGGGCTAGCCTGATCTTTAAGTGCTGACCTCATCAGAGACCCCAGTTTGTTGTGTTTTTCTTTTAGAGTTACATTTCTTTTAGGTAGAGAGATAATCTTGGGCTCAAGAAATAACCCAGAAAGACAGATTGCTGTAAAAATTCCTGGGTTCTCCTGGGAGTATGTGTCTAATGGTCATCAGAACTCTCCCTGTTCTTCAGGTGATGTTGGGAATTACTACTATGGACAAGGCCATCCAATGAAGCCTCACCGGATCCGCATGACTCACAACTTGCTGCTCAACTATGGTCTCTACCGGAAAATGGAAATCTATGTGAGTTACTTACTGCGAGTGTTCCCCTCTGTTACCTCATCAGCTCTGGTCCCCCAAATGCCATTTACTATCTGATTTTCTAAACCATGCACTCATTAAGCAAATGTGGGCATTGGCCTATCAGTTAAGATGCTTGTGTTCCACTTCGGAGCACTTGTATTCAATTCCCAGCTGCAGGAGACCCCCATATAAATAAATCATACTGCAGTGTGTAAGAGCAACAGTTTAGAAAATGTGCAAGATGCAGAGATAATGAGGAAGGAAGGAGGAAAGGGGGCTTGAATTGATTCTAGGAAGTGATATATGAGAAATTTTAAAGATTGAATAGAATTTAGCCTGGAGGGGCTGGTGTTGTGTAGTGGGTAAAGCCACTCCCTGCCAAGCTGGCATCCCATATGGGTGCTGGTTCATGTCTTGGCTGCTCTACTTGTTTGTTTATTTATTTTTAAGATTTACTTATTTATTTGAAAGGTGGAGTTACAGAGACAGAGAGAGACAGAGACAGAGAGAGACAGAGAGAGGTCTTCTGTCTTTTGGATCACTCCCAAAATGGCTGCAATGGCTGGAGCTGGGCCAATCTGAAGCCAGAAGCCTGGAGCTTCTTCTGGGTCTCCCATGTGGTTTCAAGGGCCCAAGCACTTGGGTCTATCTTCTACTGCTTTCCAGGCCATAGCAGACAGATGGATTGAAAATGGAGCAGCCGGGACTTGAACCAGCATCCCATATGGATGCTGGCACTGCAGGCGGCAGCTTTACCTGCTATGCCACGGTGCCGGCCCCTGCTCCACTTCTGACCCAGCTCCCTGCTAATGTCCTGAGAAAAGCAGCTAAACATGGCCCAAGTGCTTGAGTCCCTGCCATCAAGTAGGAGACCCAGATGAAGCTCCTGGCTCCTGGCTTCAGCCTGGCCCAGCCCTGGCCATTGCAGCCATCTGGGGGGTGAACCAGCAGATGGAAGAGCTCTGACTTTGAAATAAATAAATAAATCTTACAAAAAATTATCCTTGAGTTCAGGAGGGGACTGGTAGGGGGAAGAATATATGCAGTATATGCATATGCATATTATATATGCAAAAAGGCTGAGGTATTTGAGGAAAAATCCGTTTTTATGTGTAGGGATACAATGTGAATTCACAGACGTGAGGCAGGGCGTAGAGCTGGAGAGGTCAGCCAGCGTTGGGTGTGCTGTGCTAAACCACTCTTGTAGGCCAGGGTCGGAAATCCAGTGGCTGAAAAAGGAGTGACTGGGGATCGTGTTGGAGAAGTTGCCAAGTCTGTGGTTACGAGAGAGTGTAGGCTTCTGTCTAACCACCAGTCTCAGCTCCACTTGATTCTACCTGGTCTTCCAGATTTTAAGAAGCTGGAAATCCAAATTAGTATGCAAAACCTCCTCGGTTTAAAATGTTGGCACAGGGTTTTTGTTTTAAATGTTTGTATATAAAACACATCAATACACGTGCGGACCAAATGTGGTTCGGTGGTTCCCAATTTAATCTGTTCTGGAGGTGGTGGGGGAAAAGTGAAAGGTTTTAAATAAAAGATATAAGAATAGATAGGCATGTATTTTACAAGCAGGTAGGCCACTTAGGAGCCTGTTGCTAGAGTCCAAGTGAGAAAATAAAGAGGGGCTGGGGGCCCATGTTGCTTTATGGCGTGGTGCCTGCTGTTAAAGGCTGTACTGACAGTTTGAGTAACCTAGCAACAGCAGCATCCTTCTCACCATTCCAGAGACTGAAAGGAGATGAGTCTTCTGTCCCAGATGGCTTTGTCGTGTCTCTGGAGCTGGTGGAGCCAACTGGGGAAGGTAGACAGGGCGAGCAGACCTTGGGACCACAGTGCTTTATCAGGTGTGAAGAACAGGTGGGGAAGAAAGCATACAAGGCAGCAGAGGTTTTCAGGAACTCTGGGGAGCCGCCTAGCTCTTTCTATCAAGGAGAAAAACTCCCCAGGAGCTTCCCAATACACTCCCCCTTACCTCCCATCATCTCATTCCTGAGACCACTCACCAGTGTAGACGGATAGAATTACCAGAGCTGGCCTAGGCTAATCATGATTCTATCCCTAGGGCTGGGTACATTTTGTTACCAAGGAAGAAGGAACAGGATGGCTCTTTGGGAAGCAACCAGCAGTGACTTCCTTATGGGAGGTGAATTTCCCTGTGGTGTTCTTATAAACTTTTTTTTTTTTTAAGATTTATTCATTTATTTGAAAGACAGAAAGGCAGAGTTATGGACAGAGAGAGGGAGAGACAGAGAGAGAGAGACATCTTCTATCCATTGGTTTACCTCCAAATGGCTGCAACAGCGTAGCTAAGCCAGTCTGAAGCCAGGAGCCAAGAGCTTCTTCCTGGTCTCCACATGGGTGCAGGGGCCCAAATACTTGGGCTACCCATCCTGCTTTCCCAAGCGCATTAGCTGGGAGCTGGATCAGAAGTGGATTGAGGCCGGCGCTGCGGCTCACTAGGCTAATCCTCCACCTGCGGCACCAGTACCCTGGGTTCTGTCCTCGGTTGCTCCTCTTCCAGTCCAGCTCTCTGCTGTGGCCCAGGAGTGCAGGGGAGGATGGCCCAAGTGCTTGGGCCCTGCACCCGCATGGGAGACCAGGAAGAAGCACCTGGCTCCTGGCTTTGGATCGGCGCAGCACGCCGGCCATAACGGCCATTTGGGGAGTAACCAACAGAAGGAAGACCTTTCTCTTTGTCTCTCTCTCACTGTCTAACTGCCTGTCAAAAAAAAAAAAAAAAAAAAAAGTGGATTGAACTGGCGCCCATATGGGATGACGGCTCCACAGACAGCAGCTTTACCCGCTGTGCCATGGTGCCAGCCCCTATCATAAGCTTTTAAAGGAAAAACCTAGTATCATCTCTCTTCCCTAATGCTAGACCTGTTGTCTTTCTTTCCCCATTTTTTTTTTTTTTTTTTATGATTTACTTATTTATTTGAAAGTCAGAGTTACAAAGAGGCAGAGACAGAGAAAGAGGTCTTCCATCCGCTGGTTCACTCCCCAGATGGCTGCAACAATGGCCAGAGCTGGGCCTATCTGAAGCCAGGAGCCAGGAGCTTCTTCTTCAGGATCTCCAACATGGGTGCAGGGGCCCAAGGGCTTGGGTCATCCTCTGCTGATTTCCCAGGCCATAGCAGAGAGCCGGATTGGAAGTGGAGCAGCCGGGACTTGAACTGGCATCCATATGAGATGCTGGTACTGCAGGCGGTGGCTTTACCTGCTACACCACAGCGCAAGCCCTTAGACCTGTTGTCCTTAATGTGACCTTCTCCTCTGCCTCTGCCTCTCCACTGACTGTCCATTTGGTCCTTTTCTCCAGCTTCTCTGGCTTCCTCCCTCCTGCCCTTCCCTTCTCTGAGCTGTCTGTGATCCATCCGTCCCTTTCACAAAGTGAAAGTGGCTGTTAATTTAGGCTCTGTCCCAAAACTGATGTCTTCTGGGAGTCATACCTGAAAGAAGTTCCTTAGACTACTGTTGGAAGTTGTTACATTACCTCTACCTGAACAAGACCCGCTGAGGTCTTTTTCACAAAATTTCACCCTCATTTCACCCTCGTTGGTCCTTCCACAGCTTCTGTCCCCGTACATCGGATTAATCTCTCCCAGAACCTATATCCTCACTTTACATCCAGACACCTTCCTGTTTACATAATCAAGAATTCTGCTCTCTTCCTTGCCTGCGGTGCTAATTTTGTATATTCTCAGGCTTCTTATTCATCGCCTTCTGTTCTTTTGTTCTTTTTTTAAGAAAGTGTTTTTATTAAATATTGAGTGGCTGTGAAAGGATTTTTATAGTGTGTGTTTGTATATGTATGTGTATATATATGTATGTATGATAAAGAATCACAATTCAATTAATATCATTAGTTTGTTTCCATTACCATAAAAATCCTGGTGTATCATTTTCTAAGCCTTTCTTCTTCACTAGAATTAACTCTGCCCTGAATTTGAGATTATTTCCTTCCTTTCTGTTGTTTTACTAGTATATATATGTAATTTTTTTTTTTTTTTTTTTTTTTTTTTTTGGATAGGCAGAATTAGACAGTGAGAGAGAGAGAGACAGAGAGAAAGGTCTTCCTTCCGTTGGTTCACCCCTCAAATGGCCTCTACGGCCGGCGCGCTGCGTCAGTCCAAAGCCAGGAGCCAGGTGCTTCCTGGTCTCCCATGCGGATACAGGGCACAAGCACCTGGGCCATCCTCCACTGCGCTCCCGGGCCACAACAGAGAGCTGGACTGGAAGAGGAGCAACTGGGACAGAATCCGGTGTCTCAACTGGGGTTAGAACCCAGGGTGCTGGTGCCGCAGGTGGAGGATTAGCCTAGTGAGCTGCGGGGCGCAGGCCTACTAGTATATATTTTTAAACATAGTATTTTTTAATTTTATAATCATAGAGTATTTATTATGTGATTGCCTTTTTTGTTCAACATGTTGCTGAGAGTTATAAATATTGAAGTATGTAGTGGTATTTATTTTTACTGTACTTCACTGAAATAATGTACTACAATTTGTCTACTAGTGGTGATCATTTGATTTATTTCTGTTTTTTGGTCATAAACACTACTGTGAACATTCTTAATTTTTTTTAGGTTTTTAAAAAAGCTTTACTTAATTTTTTTTTTTTTTTTTTTTTTTTTTGAGAGGCAGAGGAAGAAAGAGGAACAAAGGAAAGAAGAAAAAAAAAAGAAACTCCCCTCTGCTGGCTCACTAATAATACCTGCAGAAAGAAAGAGAGAGAGAGGGAGGATGGGAAGGAAGGAAGGAAAGAAAGACTTAAGAAAGAAACTCGCCTCTGCTGGCTCACTTCCCAAATACTGCAACAGCCAGAGGCCTGGAACCCTGAGCCAGGAACTCAATCTAGGTTTCCAACTGCTTGATCCATCATAACTGCCTCCCAGGGTCTGCGTTAGCAAGAAACTAGAATGAGGAGCCAGAGCCAGGAGTTGAACCCAGGTACTGCAATGTGGGGCACCGGGGTCCTAACCAGTGGCTTAACTGCTA